TAATGCAAGGTAAGAGAAAGCTCTCTGAAAATGTTAAGTGTTAGATAAATGCAAGTTACTATTACTCAATGCCCAAATCCTGCCCATGATATAAATACAAAAACTAAGAAAACACCCATCCATGGTGACTTTTAATACCACTTTTAAGCCAATAGCATTAAACAATTGCAATGAACTGGGATTCTCCCTCATAAAATTAATTTGACTCAAAAACTACAAAGAGATATGGGGGAAACTGGCCTTCACTCTATGCTTCCTTTCCACCGACTTCCATTCCTGAGGTGAACAATAATGAATCCTGTCTTCTGTAAAGGCTTGTAGTGGTGTAAAGATGAAAAAGCCACGCCCCTTCTCCCCTCTCTGAAGCTTGTAATCTACAAGGAAAAACTAAACACTCATGTCTCTCCTTTTTGTTATCTTTTTAAAACTTGTGGATAGGGGCTGGGGATTTAGCTCAGCGGCAAAGCTCCTGCCTGGCACGTGCAAGGTCGTGAGTTCGATTCCTGGTACTGGAAGAAAAACAAAAAAAAATAAAAATAAAACTTGTGGATATATATATATATATGTGTGTGTGTATATGTATATATATATATATATAGGCATTTTTACCAATTGTAAATATACAAATTCAGTGGAATTAAATACATTCACAAGATTGTATAACCATCACCATCATCTATACCCAAAACTTTTTCATTATCCCCAACATAAACTCCGCGCTCACTAAGTAATAAGTAACCCAAATTATCACTCTCTAATAACCTCAGTTCTGCTCTTTATCTCTATTTGCTTGTGCTTATTCTAGGTACCTGATAAAAGTGCAACCATACAGCATTTCTGTGGCTCACTTATTTTACTTGGCCTAATTAAACAGATAGTTTTTCATCCAAGCCAAATGCGAAGACAGCCTTATGACTGCACCAAGAGGGAGCAGAAGGTTTAAGTTTCAGGAGGGCCAGCATCTAAGACAATTCAGCAGGCGGGGCAAAGGCAGAGAGGTGGAGAGGGGAAACTTCCGAGATGCGGAGGATATGGGGTGGGGCTGATTGGTCACCAAAGCCAAGGAGGACAATTGGGGTTGAAATAAGTAGAATCTAGGTTTATTCACTGAACAGTTCTGGTTCCGAGGGATGCTAGGTGGGCAAACAAGTAGAAAAAGAGCACTCCCTTGCTTACAATCTAGTTGGGAAGGGAGATTTAGTAACTTTCAGAAAGATGACATCGGGTGAAATGTACATTCAGCAGAAGAGACGTACTGACTCAGCCTTCCAAGTGAGGGTCATGATAAGACAAGGTCAAGACACATATGTAGGGTACGAGTTGTACAAACAAATGAATGGCCACATACGTGCCCAGAACATGGGTCTTGCCTGATAGTACAACTCCCAGAGAAGTCTGAATAAATGACCTTTAGCCTCAGTTTACAGACAGTCATCAGGAAAGCATCCGCCCAGCAGGGTGGGGACAAATGCCAGGGCCATGGTCATGCCTTGGGGACTGCCCCACACTCAGAAGACACATTGTCTGTTAGCAGTGCTGGGGGTGGCAGCTGATGATACCTGGCCCCCAGGAAGTGCTCCAGACTGGCTTCAGGTGGGGGCAGGAAGGCTGCAGAGGGACTGCCATCACCCCCATTCTCAATCACTCTGCAAAGCCCAACACCCAGTGGTGGACTCCCTGAACCTCTGTCTATCCCCAGAATGTTGCTGATCTCACTACGGGGGACGCTGGTGCTGCAGACTTCCTTTTGAATCCTGTAGCTAACACAAAACCAAAACAAATGCCAAACCTGCTTTTTTTTTTTTTTGGTTTTTGGTTTTTCTCCGGTACCGGGAACCGAACTCACGACCGTGCGCTTGCCAGGCAGGCGCTTTGCCGCTGAGCTAAATCCCCAGCCCCCAAACCTGCTTTTTGAAACAAAAGTGAGAGGGTATCTGAACTCATTCCAAGTCTGCTATTAATACTTGCCCAAGTACTGGCCAAGCAGATGCCCAGGGGACACTGTGTGAGGCGAGGCTGGATGGGAGTGTGAGATTAATTTGGGGATTGGGAGTAGTTTCCAAGAGCCTGGAGGTTTTGGGGTGTTAATCCTGTGTATAGGAGAAAGCGCTGCTGGCTTTGACGACAGTGGCAGCAGAACACAAGATGGATGGGAGGGAGCAAAGCAGAGCCAGAAAAGTCAGGGAAAAGGTGTTTCCTTCAACCAACCTCCTTCAATTCATCATTCTTTTATTATTTTCAAAGTATTAAATATTAATATTAAATATTAATTCCAAAATATTCAATGCCAGACACTGTTCTAGGCTCACTGGGAAACAAAACAAAGTCCTTCTTCTTGTGAAGCTTACCTTTTATTTTTTGTCTTTTTTATTTTTTGGTTTTTCTCCGGTACCGGGAACCGAACTCACGACCGTGCGCTTGCCAGGCAGGCGCTTTGCCGCTGAGCTAAATCCCCAGCCCCTATTTTTTGTCTTTTTGATGTAGGGTTTCTCTATGCAGTTAAGACTGGCCTTGAGCTCACTTTGTAGCCCAGGCTGGCCTCAAACTTGCAGTGATCCTCCTGCCTCAGCCTCCCGAGTGCTGGAATTACAGGTGTGTGCCAACACGCCCAGCTTTACCTTCCAGCAGAGAGATGAAGATAGACAACAAATAAGTCAGTTATAGCGATAATGAGAAGGTGTGGAGCAGGACCAGGTGAACCTAGAGACAGGGTGCTATATTTGGCGTTATTGAGAAGGTGAAGTTTCAGCAAAGGACTGAAAGAGGCCAGGAATTAGTTCTACGGCTAGCTAGAGGAAAGCCACTCAGGTAGGGGAAACTGTTTCTGCAAAGACCTGGAGTCGGGACATTGTCCAGGGATACGGCAGGAAAGAAGTAAACCAAGGAGAAGAGAAGTAGGCGTAGTGCAGAGGTGATGGATGCTAAACCAAGTAGAGTTCTAGGCCCTTGTAAAGGGCCTTTCTGTAAGCTAGGGCTTCTCTTATTTTTGTTTTTGTTGTTTGTTTGTTTGTTTGTTTGTTTTGAGACAAGGCCTCACTGTGTAGTTCAGGCTGGTCTCAAACGCATGGCGATCCTCCCGCCTCAGCCTGCAGAGTGCTGGGATTACAGATGTATGCCACCATGCCTGGCAAAGTCGGGGGTTCTTAACCTTGACATGGTTGACATTTTTGACCAGCTGGTGCTTGGTTGTAAGGTGTACGGCAGCATCTCTACTAGCGAGCATCCTCTAGGTGCCACCAGCAGCCTACACCACAGCTGTAACAACAAAAAATGTCTCCAACATTGCCAGCCAAATGTCCCCTGGAGGCAGAGTTTGCCCCAAGTAGAGAGCCACTGCTGCAAGTGAAATGAGGATAAAATACAGATTTTTAAATAGAGGAATAACAGTGTGATTGACATTTTAAAAAGACCACTCAGTGCGACCTATTAAAAATCTCCTTGGGAGGGCTGAGGTACTTGTAGCTTAGTGGTAGAGCACTTGCATAGCCTGTGAGAGGTGCTGGCTTTGACCCCCAGGACAGCACACAAACAAAAAAATAAACTTGGGGAGTCAGTGTGGGGGGCAGGGGCGGGGGCAGGGGAAGGAAAGAAGCAGGAAGACTATTTGGAATAGGTTACTATTTCATTAAAGAAACTCCTTGATCCTCATTGGATTGACCCTTTGTTTTTTCATTCCCAATTCCAAAAGGAAGCAGGCCTTTTGCCATTCCACGAAATTTAATTTAGAGATTATTTTGCCATATTTTGACTAAAAAAGCTTAGCTTCCTCCTCTCCCCTCTTCTTTCCTGACAGCATGATGCCATCCTTTTGCCTGGCTTTGAGGAGAATAGTGCAGGAGTGGACGGGCATAGTGTATGTACCCTTGCTGTTTGGGGGCTTTTCAGTGAATTCCAGCCCAGGTGCTGATTTTTTAAAAATCTAAGTTAAGGAGTAGAGTCCTAAGAAGTTGAAAGGGTTCCTTTCCAACCGATCCTAAGAGCAGCCACTGTGAGGAATGAGCAGGAACTGTCTGTCGGGTCTGTGGCAGCTTCTGTCACTGGAGAAATAGGGCCACTTTTTCCATATTCCAGCAAAGCGTTTAAACAGCAGCGTGGACAAAGCCAGATTGTCAGTAAAGAAGAAGGGGAAGCAGAAAACAGTGTGGTTTTCAGTGGCCGGGCAAGAACAAGTTGCATCCCAACTAAGGTGCTTGAACTCCCTGCATTTCTCAGACTTTCCCCGGAGGTAACGACACGAGAGGAGAGGGCATGGGCAGCTTTAACGAGCTGCCACCAGCCTCAGGGCAAAAGATTTTCAGGATGGACGCCTCAAAGAAGCTCAGTCCCCAACAATTTTGTGTTTCGGAGGTTCCTCTCCTCTAGCTCTAGGGCGGAACACACCACAAAAAAATCCAAAGACAGGAAATGCGCAGTGGAGAAGGCTCTGATTTGTCCACTGCACAGCTGTGATGCTGACCCATGCTCTAGGGGTGGCTGAGGGTCTGTCCACAGCTCCGAGGGTCGCGGGGGCTGACACAATGCAAAACCTAGTGAGTTGTAGCGTACTACGCCTCGGTTTCTGGAACTGCAGCCTCAGATTTGTACCCTCATCTGCAGCTATTTTACTGCAGATTGGACTTCTAGAGTTAGATTCAACCAACTCTGGCAACGTGCCTTCCCAAGGAAGTCAAATGCCCTGTCCCCCACAGATCGTCTGGGACGGCTGTTTTCTCGTCAAGTGCAAAGAACCTTACAGAAGGTGCAGCCTTCTGGTGATTCCCACAGTGAAGCAAGCGCGCTGAGCGGAGAGGACGATGCCCAGTTAAGCCCGCCCGGGAAAAGCAGGCAATACTCACAGCGCCAGCGAGAGCTGCGAGACCAGCAGTGGCGGCTCTGGGGCTGGCGGGGTCGTGGGGGGGGTCGTGGGGGAGGGTCGTGGCCTTTTCTGGGTCTTCCCGCCCACTTCACTCGGCCCCCCATCTTCACTCGACCCCCCACTTCACTCGGCCCCCCATCCTTACCTGAGCGTTTCCTTTACAGCACTAATCTCTCCGCTCGCTCACTTTCCAGGACTCGGGAGTCGCGCGCCCGGAACCCTTTCACCACCCTCGTACCCGGGCCCCGCCCCTCGCGCGGGAACACGCCCCCATCAGGCGTTCGTGCCCGCTACTTCCAAACCTACAGCGCTGGCCATGCCCCTCCAGACTTTGCCAGCCCTCTACCCGCTGCTCTAGGCACACCCCTTCCGCTCAGCCACACCCGCTCCACCCCGAGCCACGCCTCTGAATTCGGCTCTGGCCCCGCCCTTGCCCCGCCCACCACTCTCACCTCATCTCCCTCTGCCCGTGCTGGCAGCCTTTGTGGGGTGAAATCAGATTGTGGTTCTAAAAACCTGGGTCTAAAAAGTGACTTTCCTCAGGTTTCTCCCAACTCCAAACACCATGACTTGATGGGCTGGGAACAAGGGACACAAAAGAGAAACAAACATTGGATGTGTCCTTTCCCCCCTAGGTTTCATGTCCAACTTACCTGAGTTTTTTAACAGCTTCTGAACTTGAACTATAGATCGGTGTTCCTTCCAGTCAGTTTTCATATTCTTTAAACCAGAACTATGAGATTGTGTTCCTTTTAGCCCCTTGGCCTTAGCTGACTTTAAATATTAGGTAAATATGTGGAGTAAGCTTATTTCTTTACTTCCTGTGTCTTCCCCAGATGATTTTTCATAGGCACCCACCCTCTTGCTGTGTCCAGGGCAGGTCTTGATGTCGTCTCACCTGGTCTGGAACTCTAGTTGCAGCTCTGTACTCTGAGACTATTCTGTTAGCCTTGCTCCCTCCATTTACATCTCTAGGTCCACAAGAAAAATGGGAAAAATTAGAGCCAGCTATCTTCCCCAGTACTTAGATCTGACTTCTTCAAGTCATATTTATGGACCACACACTCCCTTTACAAATAAGACAAGCCTCAAGAATCAGACTCTGAAGTTGTCCAGCCCAAATTGGGTTGGATAGGACTAGAAATGGCAAGGTAAGATGGTGGGGTAGCAGTGCAAAGTGGTTGGTGTTGAGTGCCTGGGCTGACTTCGTTTCTGTCTCCACAGCAGCAATGATTGCTGAGCAAAGAGTGTCTAGGGTAGTTGCCCAACACCAAAATCTTCAGCAGCAGCTCCCATCAGGATTTACCCCAGAGAACTGCTGACTGCTTGGACTTGGAGAGAGCCAAGGTCTGTGACTAAGAAATTTAGCAACGAGGAGACCTGCGTGGAAGTTGTTGCAAGTGTATGTACAGAAGACGTCTACACTGTTCAGAGTAGTTGTGATAAAATCAGTGACAGTCTAATAGAGCTTTTGATCATGTTTAATGCCTGCAAGATTGCTTCAGCTAGCTGGGTTACTATAGTCAACCCATGTTTCCCTTATGCCTGGCAGGATAAGAGCCCGGCTCCAATCTCAGCCAAACTTGTTGCTAATATGCTGCTATCTGTAGCAGGTGCTGATGAGATTATCACCAGAAATGCATGTGCTTGTTAAGTTCAGTGCCTTTTTGATATCCCACTAGACAGTTTATACACAGACCCAGCTGTCCTGGAGTGGGCTGGGGGAGTATAGGGAGTGGAGGGGCTGTATTGTCTCACCTGACGCTGCTGGAGCCAAGAGAGTGCACTTCATTGCAGACGAGTTTAATGTGGGCTTTGCTTTGATTCTCTTTTTTTTTTTTTTTTTTTTTTTTTT